GGAAGGGAGGGTGAGCAACGAGCTGAGGGGCTGCGGCGGGCGGCGCCTGTGGGCCTGCTGCAGCGTCTGTGGTCGTCACTCAGGTTTTGGAAGRGGAAAGAGCTGCTGGAAAGCTCTGGCTTCCCGATTATGTGATGTTATAAACTCACCCCATACACGTGCACAGATACACCTGCAAACGGGATAAATCACCCAGCACTTTGCGCTTCTCCATCGTTGGAGAAGCAACATTGGTCCCTGCAAACCCTGTATCTACTTCAAATGACTGCAGGACGTGTTCTGGGCACTTTCTGCTGCTGATCCTCCCAGTCTCTTTCGTGCATACAGGTGGCATCAGAGCTAGAGGATGCTCCAATACAGTTTAATTCACTATTAATACCCAGTAGTGTAGCCCAAGGGTAACTTGAGTGGAACAAGCTGGTTTCCAGTAAGCATCGYTTCTTAGCCTTTTGGCTAAGATCAAGTRTAGCATCTATGATCGCTAATTCACCATACAGATTATGCAATTCCCATGAAAACAACTTCAGGAGTCATCATATCAGAAACGGTTGCAGGCCACTCTTCTGGAAGATATGGCCTTAAAAAATGGCAAACCTGGTGCTGTCAAAGCAGCAAGAAATTCCCAGAGAGCAGCACATTTTTTCCAATGGTATGAGGGTTACTTTGGCAAAACTGTAGCTTCTTAGGTGTCTAAGGAGGAAGAAATACASAAGATTTTTAGATTAAGATCCCATTTGATCTTTTCCTCTGATGCACACATGCTTCTTCCCTTTTCTGTCTACCCAGAAAATTTCTAATGTTTAGAAATTCAGTATTTTCAAGTCTACCAACCGCAAAAATGCCTGAAGCTTCTTACTAAAACTGGGCCTGTAGCATAACTATACACATTAAGTAGTATAGGAAACAAAGGGAGATACTTTAAACCAGTTGGCTAACTGGTATGATTTGGATATATGTTAGCCTCCTCTATGTGTTTGGTTACATGTAAAATATGTAATCTAGGAAAAAAAAAGGAAAACCAACATAGTCCAAATAGATGCATTTACTTAAATGTGTACCGTGGTACTTCATTTCATACAAACAAAAGCATTTATGAGTASAGAAATGGGCAGGATATATAAAAACAGTGAATAGGATGCTTGTAGTTGAAATCTCTTTCATACCATTACCCATTTTCTTTGCTTTTTCATGTGCTGTCATGACTTTATTTAGTAATCTTTCCCTTTCTTACTTGTGGCATGCAATCCAGATGATTTGTGTTTTTTTTCATTTATCAGGCTTGAAAAACTCCCAAGGAGGGTATCCCTTCTATATTACAATGTTAGTCTTCCCTTCAAGCTTATGTGGTGTAAATGAAGCTTTAAAAATCCACACAAATAATCAAAACTGAATAAAAAAGCAGATGCTTTGCTCTTCTGCATTACTGTTTGAATTCTTCCTTGTTTTTATCACAAAGAGGTGCCAACTATGAGGTGTCCTACTATGTCAAGTTAAACATCAGCATTTATGTTTGAACTGTTTTACTGCTAATTGTCTTAGTAGACAAAAAGCAGAAATGACTGAAAATTTAAGCCAGTGAGAGGTTGAACGAGGGAGCTCCTGCCTGGAAAATGATGCAAAAAAAAAAAAAAAAAAAAAAAAAAAAAAAAAAAAAAAAAAAAAAAAAAAAAAGGCAGAAAAGTGAATATGGAGTAAGGGGAAAGAAAAGGCATGATGGGGATTATAGAAAGGAATGCTCTTCGCTCTCACTGATGCTGAATATACCGGGAAGTTGGCTGCAGCTGCAGTAAGAGCCCCGTGCTGCTGCTGCTGCAGTTCACATTTGCAATGGCTATGGGACATGTGGGCCTGGCTCAGCTGTGGCCCAGTGTGGGAGGCTGCCTGCCAACTTCCACACACCTTACTGTTCATCTCCACCTGCAGCTGCAGCGGCAACGTGCTGTCCAGGCCTGGACACACGGCCAGGCTCCTGGAGCTCCTTTSGTTGGTGGCTGCGCTCTGGCTGATGTGGTGGAACGAGGCCAGCAAGGTCTTGAGCAAGAGGCCGTTTGCCTGGGGCARCTGCCCAGCCGCCCTACGTGAACACACACAAGCRCAAACACAACGCGCCCTGACTGCAGGAGGCCGTGGCCGCTGCTGCCGGCTGTGAGCAAGAAGTCCCAGGGAAACTCCCACAAATGGGGCGTCCTCCACAGACAGCAGGGCCCCCGATTTCTGTCACTGCTTTACACATGTCCAGCAGCTCAGCTGCCGCAAGAGGTTCAAGTGCAAGATCCGGAAGGGCAAGATCCTGACTAAAAGGCAGGTGCCTCAGCACATCGGCAGCGTGAGGAGAGGGRAGCTGGTCAGGAGACACGCTGGCAGGCCTTGCGAAGCCCATGGAAGCCTGGGGCTGGGCTGTGCAGCATGAGCACTGGCACGCTGACAGAAATGATGGGTCTTTGCAGGAGCTGCCCATGGCYAGAGAAGGCCCTAGGCGCTCCCAGTCTCTCCAGAGWGCTGGCACTGCCTGCAACACTTAGGCSTTCAGCTCTTCAGTCTGCTGCTCCTTGCTCGCCTTCTCCAKAGCCAGCATCCACCTCTCATACAGGGCCACCAACAGGAGTGTGGAGGGGATACTGCACAGGAAATCCTGCATGGCCAGAGTGTGGAGATGAGGCCTGGCACATCAGCCCTGCGCCCRGAGGGAGCATCGCTGGCACCTGGGCTGCCCAGGAGGCAGCTGGCTCCGAGCTCCCAGCTCTCCAAGGTAGCAGGACTACTGCACAAGTAGTGGGTTGTGTGAGTCCCTGCTCCATTGGCATGATCTTGTCCTGGGGAAGAGACAGACCTCATGCCTGTCAGCCTCCCTTCCACCCCAGCATCACAGCTGTCCTCCCTGAGGAGGCAGCTGGGGACAAGGAGGAGGAATGAGCTGCAAGGCAGAAGAGTTCACCTTTAGGACAGCAGCCGAGAGGTAGACTGGCCTGCTCCCCCRCTGCCCGCTGCCTCCTGCATTGAGGGCTTCCTTTAGCTCCTGTTGATCTTTCTCACTGGGAAAAATGCAGAAGATGTCCTTGGTGGCGAGTCCCTCCCTGTACAATGTGGCCAGAAGGTGCTGCCAGGAGAAGCAAACAGGAGGGTTCCTGGGGTGCAGAAAGGCTGATCATGATGGGGACTGAGCTTCAGGCCTTGCCGCACAGAAGTGCGTGTGGAGGCCAAGTCCCCGGTGGCCGGTCTGGAGTACCTGGACTGGCTGTAGCAGCTCCCCTCGTCCCTGCAAAGCCTGTCTAGAGGCCACCCAAAGACAGGGCTCCGGAGGACAGGCTCCAGCTCCTCTGGGCAGTTCCCGTTTGCCGAGCTGCGTCTTCAAGCAAACGGCCATGGGATCAACCTCCGCCTTTCAGCAGCCCAGCAAGAAGAAAGCAAGAGTCAGCTTCAAAAGCAGGAGCAGAGCTGTGTGAGTGCGGTGCTGAGCGCTGCCGCCTGCAGAGCAGAGCAGAGCAGGGCTCTGTGTCGACCGACGCCACAATCGAGCACTAAGGGAGAGGGCAGCTGCCCTGCTGCTCTTCCYAGCTCACTCACCAGGGCAACCCCTTGCATGCAACCTGTTTTCAAGAAAGGGCCCCAGGTCACAGAGCCGCCCCATGGCAGCAAGTCCTGCAATGGGGGCCACACCGAGCAAGCCCTGCAGGCCACAGCCTCCAGGTGCTTTGGGGGCTGCTGGGTGCTGAGAAGGCCCAGCCTCGCACAAGGTGCCTAAACGTGGCCCAGGGCAGCGCTGCCCTCACAGGCTGCCTCCAGTGTGGGCAGCAACTCCCAGGCTTCCTCATCAGGCAGCGGCTGCTGTCCCCAGCCCTTTGGCCTCTGCCACCTCCTCTCCTGAAACACATACACCTGATGGCAGCATCTGCAAGGGCTGGGCAGCAGGAGCACCTGCTCATCTCTGCCGAAATCAGCGCCTCCGTGGCCTGGGCACTCAACGACACTAAATGGGCAAGAGAGCAAAGGTTCAGCATGTATGTGGGGCTCTTCCCCAAAGGCCTGGACATTTGGGGTGCAGCAAGAAACCCATGGACACTTACGAGGCTGTAGACACCAATGACCTTGATGAGGAGCCGCCCAAATGAGGCTACAGTGACCATGAGATGTTGGCATTCATGATCCTGTGAGGAAGAAGCTAGACAGGAAGTAGGATTGCAACCCAGGACTTCAAGAGAGAGCTAACTTCAACCTTTTCAGGGACCTCCTTGGGGGAATCCTCTGGGCCAGGGCCCTAGAAGGAAAGGAGGTCCAGGAGAGTTGGCTAATACTCAAGCACCAATTCCTCCAAGCTCAGGATCRGTGCATTCCTACAAGAAAGAAGCCAAGCAAAGGGGGCAGGAGACCTGCATGGATGGGCAAGGAGCTGTTGGGTGAACTTTATGAGAGAAAGAGCACATACATCATGTGGAAGAAGGGCCAAGCCACATGGGAAGAATATAGGGACATTGTCAAGGAATGCAGGGATGCACCGAGGAAGATCAAGGCCAGCTGGAAATTAAAGTTCGCAAGAGATGTCAGGGACAGCAGGAAGGACTTCTACAAATACATTTGCAGCAAGAGGAAGACTAGCGAAAATGTTGGTCTGCAGCTGAACAGGGTGGATGCCTTGATGACGGAGGATGCAGAGAAGGAAGAGTTACTAAATGCCTTCTTGGCTTCAGTCCTTACTGCTAAGACTAGTCCCCATGTACTATAGAGCCTGGACACAAGAGAGAGAACCGGGAGAAAGGAAGACTTTCCACTGGTGAAGGAGGATTTGGATTATTATTAGGGATTATTTAGGCAAACTGAACACATATAAATCTATGGGCCCGGATGGGATGCACCCAAGAGTGTGAGGGAACTGGCCAGGGTCATTGCTCAGCTGCTCTCCATCATCTTTGAGGGGCCACGGAGAGCAGGGGAGGTGCCGGAGGGCTGGAAGAAATCAACGTCACTCCAGTCTTCAAAAAGGGCAAGAGGGAGGAGCCGGGCAACTACAGGCCAGTCAGGCTCACCTCTGTCCCTGGAAAGGTGATGGAGCAGCTAAACCTAGAAAGCATCTCTAGGCATGTGAAAGAAACGAAGGTGATAAGAGTAGTCAGCACAGATTCACCAAGGGAAAGTTGTATTTGACCAACCCGATAACCTTCTATGATGGGATAACTGGCTGGATGGATGAAAACTGTGGATGTTGTCAATCTTGACTTCAGCAAGACTTTTGRCACTGTCCTCCATAAGCTTCTTATGGGGAAGCCCAGGAAGTGTGGGTTAGATGAGCGGACAGTGAGGTGGATTGAGAACACGCCAGATGGGAGAGCTCAGAGGGCTGTAATAAACAGCACCAAGACTAGTTGAAGGCCTGTGGCAAGTGCTGTCCCTCAAGGGTCAGTACTGGGCCCAGCGCTCTTCAACTTGTTCATCAATAACGTGGATGGGCATAGAGGCAACAGAGTGCACCCTGAGCAAGTTTGAGGGTGATACCAAACTGGGTTGAGTGGCTGACATCCCAGAGAACTGTGCTGCCATTCAGAGGGACCTRGACAGGTTGGGAATGGGGCAGAAAGGAACCTCATTAGGTTCAATAAGAACAAGTGCAGGGTCCTGCACCTGGGGTGGTGTAACATCTGACAACAGTACAGATTAGGGGCTGATCTCCTGAAAAGCAGTTCTGTGGAGAGGGACCTGGGAGTCCTGGTTTAGTCAGAGGCACCGAGGCCTTTGGGCCGGTCACAGACATGGCCTCCTCTCAGTAAAGAGCAGGAGCTGGTGTGAGTGCAAGTGCTCGGCATGGCTTCCTCTACAGCACTGCTGGGTGCCTCCCCAGAGCTGGCCCTCGGAGGGCAGCAAGGGAAAAGCAGCTGCTCCCATCCCGCCCTTCCTGACTGCTAAAATATTCCTCTTTCTTGTCTTCTCTCCTTTTCCTGTAGCTACAGGCTACAGGATTCCTTCCCTAGCTAACAGAGGCATTCCTTCCCTAGCTAACAGAGGCAATGCAAGAGGAGATGTTGCTGCGAGGACGATGCTCATCTGCAACAGGCGCACATGAAAGCAGCTCCCCAGCTCTTGTTGGTCAATCTCAGTAAAAGTTATGTTTATCTCCTTGTCTTCCTGTTTTGTTGTTTCCCCTCCTCCAGTACCTCTTGTGCCTTCTGCTGTGCAGCCTGCTGCGCTCCTTAGAATCACAGAATCAGTACGTTTGGAAAAGACCTTTGAAATCATTGAGTCTAACTGTAAGCCCCTCAACACTCTACCTGTTAAGCCATGTCTCTAAGCATCTCATCTAGACCTTTCTTGAACACTGCCAGGGATGGTAACTCTACGACTTCCTTGGGCAGCCTATTCCAATGCTTGACTRCTCTTTCTGTGTAGAAATTCTTCCTGATATTTAACCTGAACCTCCCCTGTTTCAATTTAAGGCCATTTGCTCTTGTCCTATTGGTAGTTTTTTGGGCGAAGAGATCTGTTTAGACTATATACTTCCTAAAGGTGGAATTCCTAATTTCCAGCAAGGCTTTTAACACCCTCTCCCATAATATCCACATAGGAAAGCTCTGGAAGGGTGGACTGGACGTGTGAACAGTGAGGTGGATTGAGAACGTGCTGGATGGCAGAGCTCAGAGAGTGGTTATAAATGGGGCCGAGGCCTGCTGGTGGCCTGTGGCCAGTGGTGTCTCTCAGGGGTCAGTACTGGGCCCAGTGCTGTTCAACTTGTTCATCAGTGACCTGGAYGAGGGCACGGAGTGCACCCTGAGSAAGTTTGAGGGTGATACCAAGCTGAGTGGMGTGGCYGAAACTCCAGAAGGCTGTGCTGCCATCCAGAGGGACCTGGACAGGCTGGAGAGTTGGGCAGAGAGGAACCTCATGAGGTTCAATAAGGAMAAATGTAGGGTCCTGCACCTGGGCAGGAATAACCCCAGGCATCAGGACAGATTAGGCGTTGACCTGCTGGAAAGCAGCTCCACAGAGAGGGACCTGGGAGTCCTGGTTGACACCAAGTTAACCATAAGGCAGCAGTGCCTCGTGGCCAAGAAGGCCAATGGGATCCTGACTGCATCAGGAGGAGTGTTGCCARCAGGTCAAGGGAGGTGATTCTGCCCCTCTACTCAGCTCTGGTGAGGCCGCACCTGGAGTATTGAGGGTAGTTCTGAGCTCCCCAGTACAAAAGGGATGTGGAGCTTCTAGAGAGGGTCCAGCAGAGAGCAGCCAAAATGATTAAGGGACTGGTACATCTATCTCTCTTATGAGGAAAGACTAAGTGGGCTGGACCTGTTTAGGCTGGAGAAGAGAAGGCTGTGAGGGGATCTGATCAATATGTATAAATACCTGAAGGGAGAATGTAGGGAGGAAGGGGCCAACTCTTCTCAGTGGTGTCCAGTGATAGGACAAGGGGCAGTGGGTATTAGTTGAAACCCAGGCGGCTCCATCTCCATCTGAGGAAGAACTTCTTTCCGGTGAGGGTGACTGGACGCTGGCACAGGCTGCCCAGGGAGGTTGCGGAGTCTCCTTCTCTGGAGATCTTCCAAACCCGTCTGAATCCCACCCTGTGTTCCATGCTGTAGGTGTCCTCTAGAGGATATCTAGAGGTCCCTTTCAACCTTAACCATTCTGTAATTCTGTGATTCTGTAAAGCCCAAAGCACTGGCTGTCTCCTGGTGGCAGTAGTGCCTGATGGAAATGACAGGTAAGAAAAGCAGTAATGAAAGAAAGAAAAAGAAAAGAAAAAAGAAAAAAGAAAAAGGAAGGAAAAAAAAAGAAAGAAACTGGTGTTGTGCCAAGTCACAGAAACTGAAATGAAATTGAGCCTAAGTCTTGTAGCTGAGCCTTTTACGGGATGAGAGAAAAGAGATAAAGAAAAGGGGCCTCATGGAGATAAATGTTGCAAGAMCTATATTTTTGCAACCTTTCATGCCTCTGCACTTCCCACATGCATGCTGACTTGTAATCTATGAAGAGCTAGTGAGATCCAGCTCTACATCAAAACTTGTCAACTAGACCATCTTTAGAGGACTGTTTAAAAAAACACTGGAGTCTTCATGACCTCTGCAGAACAGAAGATGGTGCTGTTGTCATTGGCATTTGCCTTCCTTTTGCTGTTTCTATTCAGAAGAAGGACAAGTTGTAGGGGAAAAAAAGAAGAGAAAGGAAAGATACAGGAAGGAAGATAACTGCCATTTATATTTAACATAAGAAATTAATAAACTCAAGAGTTTCAGAAAACAAGATGCAGATGCAGTGTTTGATAGCTCTGATCTGCAGTTTTCAAGAAGTGTTAGCAGAGAGGGAGGTGTGAAATCAATTAGGAGAAATAGAGAGGCAGCACAGACCTTATTTTTGGATGCCGTCTTACCCTTTTCTCTAGATACTCTCAGTTAGGTTTAGGAAGGTGCCAAATACTGTCAGTTCCCCACTAACTTCAAGACGAGCTATTACTAATCATTAACACCTGCAAAGATCAGGCGCAGTGTGTCTCAAACTAGACATCTGAAAACAGAGACAACAAAAAATCACATGGAACTTTCCAAAAAATTGCCTAAAATAATTGGAGACAGGGAAGGGGGAAGGACCAGAATTAGGCAACTAATGAGCAGAAGTGACTACATAACTCTTGGTTAAACCATGGCCTGTTCATGCTTACAGCATTATTAGGACCACAATGCATGGCTTCCTTCCTTTATTCACTCTAGCAAGAAATGGTACATGAAGGAAGAGCAGTCAGGAGATAGCTAATAAAATAGACAATGCAAAATAAGAACTGCAGAGGAAAGAAACAGTGAGATAGATCATAACGATACTRTTGGACTGGGACGTTACCTGCATCCAGGCAAGAAATTCAACACCCTCCTGTGCATGCACCCTTGAGGATGTTCAGTTTGAAAATGAAGCCAGAGCTCTACAATTCTGACACTTTCAACATCCTCTGTTCTTAAGGAGAATTTAAAGGCAGTGAATGGAAAGCATTTATGTTCAATTAAACATTTATAGTGAATAGGAAGTTGCAAATCTGTACTATGTGGTTTTAGCACATAAGCTATAAAGAAGAAGCTAAGCTGATAAATCTTGAGTTAGAATGAGTGCAACAGAATGATCTGGAAAGGATGAATTAGAAGAAAGAATTAGAAATAATCCTTTACCATCTGTCCTTATTTTGCTAACCTACCTGACAGGATGCTCCTAAACTCTGCAGTCTTTTTTATCTGCTTCATATAGGAGAAGAGCAGTTGCCATACTGACTGGAAATTAAATGCTTCCCATTAACAGCCTGCTTTCCCACTGGTTGGCCTTACTTTCCATTAGTTTTATTTAAAAACAAACACATTTCCATTCAGCCATGGGCTACATGAATCATTTTGACCCCTCCCCTTCACCAGGACTCTGAGCCAGGTGGTAAAGCTTAGATTTTACTGGGGTCTTTAAAATGTGTAAAAGCCATATTCTCCAGCTCTCAGTCTGAAAAGCTTATTTAGGTCTGGAAGAAATGCAGCAGCTGAGAAAACGTCCGTGTTGTATCATATAATTTCTCCATTAGAACAGCCTTTGTCTATAGGTCTTTATCCAGTAAATCATGTAAACAGGAGCTTAACTCTAAGCACATGCCTAAGTATTTTGCTGCCTCTGGATTTTAGTGTACAGAGGATTCTACTGGTAATGAACCACATAAGAGGATCTACTGTAGYGGGGAAAATACTCTATACCTTCTGCATTAAAATTTACCAGCTGCAACCCCAGAAGTCTTTATTTYTTTTTAAAGCTTCATGATAATACTGGGAGTGCAGCTTTACTACAGAGAGGCTGATAAAAGGAACCTAAAAATATATATATATATAAAAAGAAACCCCAACAACATTTCTTCAAGAGAAATTCAGTTCTCACTTATTTCAGGGGGAACAGATGAAATTTCCACTTTAACTTGGAAGAAAGGAAAGAGAAGGAAGGAAAGGAAGGAAGGAAGGAAGGAAGGAAGGAAGGAAGGAAGGAAGGAAGGAAGGAAGGAAGGAAGGAAGGAAGGCAGGCTTGACTTTATTTCCTAGATATTTTTCTTTGCAAATGTGAAGGTTTGCAATTTTCTGTCCTTTGAAAGGATGACAGAACATAAATAACTTTGTAATTCTTTGGCTTAATAGCATGATTGAATTGCTTTTCAGTGGTGAACTAGTCTTTGGTATTTGTTCTGGGAGCATGAAGGTACCCCACTTTATACSGAAAAACTATTTTTGATTTTTAGATGAATGGAGAAATTGGCATGGCACTGGTTAACAGCAAGATGATTTCTTTARTCTGAAGTTTAGAAATGAAGGCCAAAGTCTATTTCTACCCTCCAACAGTCATTTATGTCAAAATAAAGCAAGGAAAAAACATGTTTAATATACTCCCTGTTATGGCCCATAGTATTTTAAGTTTACCTAGCACTAGTTTCACTAGTGCTGCATGCTATAGAGTAA